CAGTTCTTCGGGGGAAGGGAGCTGCGGCTGAAGCAGGAGTACTTCGTCGTGGCTGCCACCCTCCAGGACATCATACGCCGCTTCAAAGCATCCAAATTCGGGAGCACAGACAGCGTCCGAACCGTGTTCGATTCCTTCCCTGACCAGGTACGAGCCAGGGTTGCGCACCCAGGGCTGGAGGGGTTTCGTGGACCCTCCGTGGGTGCCTGTGCCTGGCTGGCTCAGGCAGCAGGATGCCCACATGTCCTCGTGTGCCACCCCTGCTCTCCTGCAGGTTGCCATCCAGCTGAACGACACGCACCCCGCCATGGCCATCCCGGAGCTGATGAGGATTTTCGTGGACATCGAGAAGCTGCCGTGGAACAAGGTGGGGAGGCTCGACGTGGGTCCCCTCTGCTTGCACCCACCCTGCCGCCTGCCCGCGGCGGAGGAGCTGGATAACCATTTTTGTGGCTGCTGGTGGCCTGGAGAGTGGCGTGCAGCAGTCAGGTGGGGTTTAACCGGTAGGGACTTGGAGGAGCCAGCTCAGCCGTGCTGCTGGCCGCGGTGGGATGACCATGCGTGGGTGCTGGCACCCACCCGGGGCTGCCTCCACCCTGGCCACTCAGCACCAGCTCTCTCCCCGGCAGGCCTGGGACATCACCAAGCAGACCTTTGCTTACACCAACCACACAGTGCTCCCCGAAGCCCTGGAGCGCTGGCCGGTGGACCTGGTGGAGAAGCTGCTCCCCAGACACCTGCAGATCATCTACGAGATCAACCAGAGACACCTGGATGTAAGTGCCTTGGGGCAGCGCAGGAGCCCTCCCTCCGGAGAGGGGGACGGGGATGGCACATGTTGTGCTGTCGGGATCAGGGGGATGCATAAACCGATGATGTTGGGTGTGTGGCTGGGTGGTTCTGGCTGCTATTTTGGGAGCTTGGTGTGTAGGATAGCCCTTCCCACCAGTCTACTGCCATCCCGCACTTAGTGGTTGTTTTAAAGGCTCCGGGCACTTACCTGTTGGCATTTCTTTGCTCCCTAAATGCTAAATTCATTCTGGAGAAGGATGGGGTTGGGGCCACAAAGGAGATGGTGGTTTGGCTTCCTGGTCTGGCAGCACGAGGCTTTCACCAAAATGGCCCCACATGTGCCCACAAGACCCTCTCCGTAGGGGCCTGGGGGGGTCCTTCTGTCCAGAGACGTCAGTGCTGGGGAAGGGGGTACCCTTGGGAGGGGGTTGGCACCATCGCTCTGGAGTAAAAGCCACCGCTCTGGCTGGCATCAAACGCGTTGGAGTCACTGCTGTGGCCCCCTCCTGGGGATCCATCGGGTTGGACATCCCTAAACACCAGCACCGCTCACCATCTCTCCGGCCTTCCCCGGCAGCACATCGCGTCCCTCTTCCCTAACGACGTGGACCGGCTGCGGAGGATGTCCCTGATAGAGGAGGGAGGCACCAAGAGGATCAACATGGCCCATCTCTGCATCGTCGGCTCCCACGCTGTCAACGGCGTGGCAAAGATCCACTCCGAAATAGTCAAGACTCAAGTGTAAGCGCGAGGAGGGAGGCGGTGGTGGATCACCCTTGGCTTGGAAATGGTGGTGGTGCCAGGTGGGCAAGCCTGAAACTGTCCCCTCCTCATCCTCATAGCTTCAAGGACTTCGCAGCGCTGGAGCCGGAGAAGTTTCAGAACAAGACCAACGGCATCACCCCACGGCGCTGGCTCCTGCTCTGCAACCCGGGACTGGCGGAGCTCATCGCAGAGGTAACGGCGCGGGGGGAGCATGCTGGCTCCCAACCCTTCCCGGCCCCAGGTTGCCACTCCAACCTCAGCCATTTACAATCTCCTACGTGGTCCAAGCACCGCCGGCTGTGCCGGGCGGGAGCAGCGTGCCCGAGGAAGGCGGCCGCCCCAACCCCATGGTTGGCGCGTGCTTGTGCTCCTGTTGCAGAAAATAGGGGAGGACTACGTGCGGGACCTGAGCCAGCTGACAAAGCTGCACGAGTTTGTGGACGACGACCTCTTCATCCGGGAGGTTGCCAAAGTGAAGCAGGTGAGAGGGGCGCAGGCAGCGGGGACACAGGCACGGGGAGCGCAGGCTGGGGACTGACGCGCTCTCTGCCCTCGCCCAGGAGAACAAGGTGAAGTTCGCGCTGTACCTGGAGAAGGAGTACAAGGTGAAGATCAACCCTTCCTCCATGTTCGACGTGCATGTGAAGAGGATCCATGAGTACAAGCGGCAGCTGATGAACTGCCTGCACATCATCACCATGTACAACCGTAAGCCACCGCGCATCCCAAGGGGACGGGCTGCCCTGGGGGTGCACGAGCACCCCTATCCCCCAGGGCTGCAGCTAAAACAGAGGGTGAGACCACGCTGCTGTCTCCTCCAGGCATCAGGAGGGATCCTACAAAGCTCTTTGTGCCGAGGACAGTGATCATTGGGGGCAAGGTAAGTTGGGTCAGGAGTTCTAAGCATTTTGCAGGAAGTCACTGAAAATGCCCAGGGGATTTGGGTGCAGATGTCTTACGGGGCCATGTCCATGAAGCTCTCCAGGAAGTGCTGGGGTAGCACTTGTTGGCTTCAACCCAAGGAAAGCACCAAGTTTTTGGGAGACTTGCACAACCATATGTTGCCTGTGGTCATGTAAGCCCCTGAAAACTTGGAGGCACAACACATGGGTTGGATGAGGTGGTGGGAGCAGGGCCAAGGGAGCTGGGTGCGCCTCACCCGCCCCTGGCATCAGCCCTCCAGGCTCACTTGTGGCTTTTCTCTTAGGCTGCCCCAGGATATCACATGGCTAAAATGATTATCAAGCTCATTAACGCTGTGGCTCAGGTGGTGAACAATGACCCCATTGTGGGGAGCAAGCTGAAGGTCATCTTCCTGGAGAATTACAGGGTCTCACTGGCAGAGAAAGGTAACCCACGTGGGGAGGGGATGTCTGGCTCACGGCTGCCCACCAGCCCATGGCTCTGTGGTGGACCTTCAGCACGATACAAACCCAAAGGTGGTCACCATAATCCCTTGTGTCTGTGTGTGCTGTTGTCAGTGATCCCTGCTACTGACCTGTCGGAGCAGATCTCCACGGCGGGCACCGAGGCGTCGGGTACGGGGAACATGAAGTTCATGCTGAATGGGGCTCTGACCATCGGCACCATGGATGGAGCCAATGTGGAAATGGCTGAGGAGGCTGGAGAGGAAAACCTGTTCATCTTCGGCATGAGGGTAGAGGACGTCATGGAGCTGGACAGGGAAGGGTGAGAGCTGGGGATGCTGTGGGGGTGCTACCATGGGCGGCCAAAGCAGCACCATCTCATATCAACCCTTCCCTGCCAGATACAATGCTCAGGAGTACTATGACCAGCTCCCTGAGTTGAAGCAAGCCATGGACCAGATCAAGAGCGGCTTCTTCTCCCCAAAGGAGCCTGACCTCTTCAAAGACGTGGTCAACATGCTCTTCCACCATGACCGGTAAGGCCTGGGATGCCATCCATCCCCTGGGTTGGGTCTTGCCACCAAACTCCTGGTGCCTGTGCAGAGCAGTCCCCTGCACCAACCATCCACCCTCTGGCTGCTAAGGTCCCATTTTCTGGCCCCGATGTTGTGCATGTGGAAGAGCAACCTCGGGTACAAAAGGCTCTCCACGTACGGCACTTCACGCTTGCCGCATTAAAGCCTGGAGTACATCAAGGCCAAGGCTCGTTTGGGCGCACAGCCCTTGCCAGATGGTAGATGCTTTTAGGTATCTCAAGGGCTTTCCTGGCCGGAGCACTAAACAGCCAAGGGCTGTGGGCATTTGCACGGGGGAAATGGTTTTCCCGGCGCACTGACGCAGGGTGTGCCCTGCCGGGGCACACGTCCAGCCCGCACCGCAGCGCCCGCGGGCTTGCAGGGCTCTGTACAAACCGGGCTTGGGGAGGATGAATTTGGCTGATGCATTGGTGTTGGAGGAAAACCCGGACCTGGCAGCCCC